AGGTTTTCCCCAGAAGTGGCATCATTCCATTACCCAATATCCCCCTGCCCACCCCCCAAGCCCCATCTCCTTCTGGTTGTCAGGCCTGGCCTGGCCAACCTAATGTATCCAGTTTCTAGGGTGTACTGGGAGAATTAGTAAAAATTATTTACAGTACATTTCCCATGTTCCATAAGTTTATTTCTAACCACTTCACTACTACGGCCATCTAGTAAGAACTAATTACTCATTATGTTGGGTCATTAAAACTGTATTTTGGTGTTGCTAAATAATTGTGATCTGCCATTATATCTTCACAAATACGTATCTCTAACAAGATGGAAGACTATTTGTTTCATGGTCATTTGGATTTCACTTATGAAAGGGTTTCATGGGGTTTAGAGAGAAGGGAGTCATGAGAATACTGTAAACAGCGGTGTTAACTAACTGAAACATGATTGCTGAAGAAGTGCTACAGCCTATTCTGTTTATGTGGCAGAGAGAGGCTTAACCATTTTTACTTTATATGGTAAGTTATACTAGAATTTTATGTTGTTTGTTCAGTCTATTATGCAGATGGCACTTGATTAAAATCTATTTTAAACTATGGTGATTACTGCGAGATACTGTGAACAAAACAGCTCTCCTACCACCATTAAAGGCTTTGGAATGATTGCAGTTTATTTTAAATATGCTTATAGGCGTTCCTTAACTTCTCAGGGGACATTTAGATATCAACAGTGTGCCTTATTTGATAGTCTTAAATCCTTTACTATATATCCTTGTGATCTATTATTCGTGCAACATGGTTAATACACACATTTTTAAAGTGAGAAACCATTGCTTTCTTGTGATAAATAAGTTAAATACATCACTATAATTAAGCAATAAGTCCTGACAGGAGGTGGATTACCATGAGCTAACTACACCTCTAGGGATTCTGAAGCACAAGTCTATGCTTAGCAGAATAAGTATGAGGATTTTTTTAATTATTTCCCATCTGTCTCTGTTTTGGTGGTTAGTAGCAAAGTCTGTTTAACTGCTAGATGGTTGTAAGCATAAGGTGGAGACATCATCCCCATTATTTTCAAGGTTATTAGTTGTGGAATTTATCCATATATTAAAATATATTAACAGAATTTCTTTAGGGAATAGTCTGTCTTTAGTTCTGTGAATGAACAACTCAGAGGCAACGGATTATTTAGATTGTTTCAGAGCTTGTTCAGTTTACAGATAACAGTTTCCTTGTTTAACCTTTGGGCATATTGAATCACAAGGCTAAACATTGGATCATAACTGTACCCTAAATATATGAAGGTTTATCCAAATGTTTTTTAAAAACCTTCCCTAAGAGGTCTACACATATCACCTAGTCCAGCAGCAATATCATGACATCCCAAACCATGGACAGAGGTGGAGATTTACCATTGACTTAGCCTGTCCATCAGCTTTTTAGGAGGGAAATCATGAAATATGTTTGTTTTCATGCTGAACAAGCAGAGTAAATCTCTCTAAATAACAAAACAAAAAACATTCTTCAAGGTTTACCAGAACACAGATGAATTAGTGCTTGCGTCCCCCCATATAGGTGAAAGATTGGTGAGGCTTTCGGTGGAAACTTGGAGCTCTTTCAAGTTTCCAGTTCCTTTGCTGGCTCTTGCTTGGAGGAGTTGGCTCAGCAAAGAAAAAGGATAATTAACCAGCCTTGTCGCAATGTAGGAGTCACATTAGTTGTTTCTGAGCATGCTGTAAAGTTGCAATTTTACAGATTTCCTCAGGAGTAAGCCTATTGAAGAACTAATTGTTCATCAATTAACTAGCAGTCTAAGCAACAACTAATTTGGGTGACCTCCCTGACTTCTTTGAATTTGAAGATGCTACTAAATACAGCCAAATATTTATACACAGAGATGTCCAGGGATGAAATTACATTTAAAATTAGTAACAGTCCTATATTTCTCAAAAAAAAAGATAAATACATATTGCTGTAGCTTAGTTGAATGACAATTATCAACTGTGTTACATTGATATGAAAAAATACACACAAACCAGAAATGACATTACTGCATTAAAGGTCAATGGATTGTATCATATAGCTAAGGAGAAAGGCAATGCCATTTCATCCACATAAGACAGCAAAGAGTAGGATATAACCAGGGGTCCACACTAAAATAATTGGTCAGGCAAGAATGGACCTTTACTCTGGTGAAGAGATATCTGGCCACACCCTCCTTGTGATATCTGGCCCCACCCACAGTAGGCTGGAGGCCTATTGAAAGAAGCCTCTGCATCCAGCCTCTTCTTGTGCTTTCCTTGCCTGTAATCAGAGAAAGGACAAGAATATCCTTGGAAAGTGTTGCCCTGTTCCTAACAATCAGGATGTAGTAGTGCTTCCTAAGGATATCATCTGGCTGGCTGCTCTGGAAAACAGGATACCTGACTAAGAGCAACCTTTGGTCCAATCCAGCAAAGTCAATTTATATGCTTTTAATTCTCAGGTGGCTTCTTTATTATCCACCAGTGTACAAATCTTTCAAATACATAAACAAATAAGAAAAAAGTCTAGAAGATAGGTCTGTCAATGAGGACTAGCTGTGACAGAGTGTGGAACCACATGGCAGAGATAGGATACTTCTGAGGATGAAGTTGCAAGGATAAACAACAGGGGAAGACAGTCAACTCCATGCCTTCTTCTAACCTATGGGAGGCATCTGATTTTGAAATAGGATGATGGACTAAATTGACATTTTGTCCAGTCCAGCAAAAGCTATTTTTCTGGCTTTATTACTTTGCACTGATAGACCAAACACAGTCAAGTAACAGTTTAATCTAATGTTAGCAGTAAACATGTTTGCCCCAGATTTCAGTTGGATATTTCCCAGGTACAGCCTCCTGCCTAGAAGGGACAACTTGCTCCAGCCCTCTGTCATTACCATTCTGCGATCTGAGCAGTACTGCTGCTCCAACCAGCCCACTACTCAGGATGAACTGGTCCCTGCCTCAAATACATGAAAAGCTGCATGTGGGAATGGACTGAAGTCCAGATGGGGCTAACTGGCTAATCCCTACCCACAACCTGGAGTTACAACCTAGAGTTCCTGCCAAGCTAGAGCCTATCCCACACCTGTGTGCAGGTTCCATTTAGCTACTCACCTGAAGCTGAAGGAGCTCTTTTAGCAGACTCTTAACCCAGCATACCTGGTCTGCTTCCTATTGTGGCCCCAAAAAACCCCACAACTCCACCCTAACTTTCCAGTTCATCCCTTCAGTCTCCAATGGCAATGAGTCTTTTCCCGAGAAGTCAATTTTTGAATTCCTTCACCAACTGTGTTTTCCCCTTCCAAGTCTCACTGATTGAGACACATTGAACATTTCCTCTCTCTTTGGACAAGGGGTCAGAATGCAAATCTCACCATTCTGATCTCTTCTTCTGGGAAGAGGAAAGTTCTCATGGCATCCCAGAGAAGAGACACAGCGAGACATTTCCAGGGGGGGGGGAATCAAAACTCTGAATCACAACTGTGGGCCACGCAACATGACACACCAGGTCACATGCAGCCTGTAAATCATATGTTGTGTACACATGTTATAACTCAATATATGTTTGAGGACAAACAGTACAGGTATGTGTGCAATTGTGTTGCTCTTCTTTAGAAAGCAGTAATGAAAAATGCCAACTGTCGATTTGGGGCATACAGGGCCGGCTCACCCACTAGGCGAACTAGGCATTCGCCTAGAGTGCTGGGCCCTGGATGGAGCGCTGAGCTGTGCCTCCCCCCGCCGCCAAAAGCCCGCAAGCAGCTCTCCAAGTGTCAGCACTTCGCTAATTGGGGAGAGGCATCCGGTGAGCATCCCCCGCCTGGAGACAGGATCCCCCCCACCTCCCTCCCAAACTGCCTTCTGAAGCGGAGCACGAGAGAAATCTCTCTTCCATCTTGGAGGGCGCTGCAGGAACATGTGGGGCGTGCTCGCTGGGTCTGACAGCTGCGGGGTGGAGGCGGTAGCGGCGGTAGCAAAAGGGTGGCTGGCTCCAGAGGTCTCCAGGCCCCACCGGGAGTTTGGCATCTGCACCACAAGGCAGCCTCGCCTAGGGCACAGAAACACCTCAAGCCGGCCCTGGGGGCATAATTGGGAGGATAAGATTAAAACATTGAGTTGTAATTTAAAATCAAAACTGGAACCATAAATTTTGTGTGATGTTGACTGTATAAAGTATAGTTTGAACTACATAGAAATTGTCACTGCCCCCTGCCCTGAGTGGCTCATTCAAAATTCAGAGGCCATTTTCTAGAGCATAAATAGCTTTCTGGATTAATTGATTGCTGGATTGGAATTTCCTGGCAGCATTATCAAAGACATTAAAGGAAGCTGTTTTCTAACACTGGTTTCTGTTCTTGTGCATAATAACCAAACTACTGTGAACCAGAAGCAGAAAAATTTCACTTTTCATGATGATCCTGTTCAGACAGTTCTCCTTGGGGTGATTTTTACTTGAACTCTTGCAGTGGTTTCCCCCCCCCCCATAGTTCTGATGTAAATGAACAAATTTTCAACAACTGTCTTGATTTAAGATGGAGATGAATTGAACTTTAAGCTTGTCTTAATCCAGTAGAAGGTTAAAAAAAAATCCTACCATAAAACAGATTTTTCCTGCTACTGTATTTGGATTTCCTCTGTAATTGAACTACTAGCCAGTGCATAATGATATTCTTCAGAGAGATGCCAAGCCATTAGCGGTAATATTTGAAAAAAGATGAAAAGCTAAGCTGTAACTATGTGAAAGAAAAATACATAATAAAATTTAGAAAGTAAAGTTATATAATCTAGTATATTTAAAATGCATTTTAGAGATGAAAACATGTAAGATAACAGAATTTTGGATTATTAAAAATATATAATTGAAATGCCTTTTTAAGCTGCAAAACCCCTAAATGCATGTTGACAAAACACTGGGGATTTAGTTTTATCTACAGTAATTGTGTGTGTGTGTGTGTGTAATGTAGACTATACTTACTTTGCAGGTCAATGGTGGAGAAAAAAGACCTGCTTCTGATATTGGGAAAAAACCAAAAACTCCCAAGAAGAAGAAGAAGAAGGATCCTAATGAGCCACAGAAGCCTGTTTCTGCCTATGCATTATTCTTCCGAGATACTCAAGCAGCCATCAAAGGCCAAAACCCAAATGCTACCTTTGGGGAAGTCTCTAAAATTGTAGCTTCCATGTGGGATGGCTTGGGGGAAGAACAAAAACAGGTACCAAATGATACTTACATATGCATGAAATTGATTAACTGAATTGTAAATACAAAATGTATGATTTAACTATTATTTTACAGTAGCTATTTTTATTCCTAGAATTAAGCCAACAAATGTCCCTAATTGTAACCTGGATCAGGACTAAGCTTCCACTGCCATCTTCTGTAAATGCTATATTTATTTTCTTACCTGGAGCTTCAAATAGCTGTAATGATTCCACAAGCCTGAAACTAATTAGCAGGTATTACGTTAGAAGAGTGGTGTAAACAACATAAATTTGAACAAAGCTCCACATTTGCAATATTTAACATTCAGTTCTGATCAATTACTTGTTTTTGCATTTACCTATTCTTGGTTTGTGCTCTAAAAAACTACTAAAACATCATGCTAAAGAAGGCTGCTGCTCATATCTTTATCTTTTTTTTGTGAAGGAATTTTTGAAGGATCATTCAAAAGCTCCAAGGCTAGTACTAGACTTACATACTGTAATGGGTTATTATCGAGTGTAAATGATTATAATAATAACATTGGCATATATTGGGATATTATCTAGTGTAAAGGATTATAATAATAACATTTGCATATATTGGGATATTTCACCACTAATGGCATGGGCACTGTCCAGTAAGTGCCCATGACACATGTGCAACCATGTTCCAGGCAACATATTGTTATGGCAGTGGAATGTGTACCTCGCAGTGTCAAAGTGATAAAATAACTGCTCAAATTATGCAAAAATTGATTTCTCTTTTGCATTCCTCATTCTCTGTTGGGAATGGCCATGTCTGCAAGAACTTTAGAACTGTAAAATGGTTGCATGGCAAAAATCTGTGTGGTGTGCTATACAGAGATAGTTGCTTTCCTTATAACATGGTTGTTCTGTGAAAAGTGCACTGTTCTTATGTTTTTCTCCAATGCAAGATGCCTTCCCATAATGCTAGAGGCCCTTACAGAAGAAGGCTTTTTGCGCCTGGGCAAAAAGCCATCATTTGCAGAATAGCGCCACAGGATCCAACCCATAATGTTCATTTTCATTGTAGGATTGCTGTTTTAAAACTGTTTACAGAAAAAAAAATTGAACAAAGGATGGGGGGCAGGAAATTAGGACACCATAGAGACACTGGCCAGCCATAACATGTGAAGGCAGAATGGATACTCTGTACAAAAGGTGAATGGGAGCCATGTACACAATGTCATATCTCAGCTTCAACCATGAGTAACAATGAACATCGGAAGCCTTCCTTTACCATATCATGAACATGAAAGTTGTCTTCTTGCATTAGCTAGCTTTCTTGTACCCTTACCTTTCAACCTGCTTGCCGCGTACACCATTCACTGAAAGCTTTTATTGCCACCCCCTATTTTCAGGCTATCATCCCCTGTTTTTCACCCTGCTGCATGTTCTGCTGGGGAGAGATAAGGAGGCTCCTGCAGCCCAGGAAAGGGAGAGCTGGAAGGAGTCCAAGAACTCCAAGAAATCCACCCTTGTCCCCTTACAGGGAGTTTACCACAAACAGGCAGTCTGCAGAGATGAACTAATTTGTCCCCAGTTCTTAGAATTTACACAGAAAACATTGTATGCACTGCTTTTCTTCCTTGTATTTGCCAGCCATGTTACACTAATTGACAGAAACATCCAGGGGTTTCTCATTTTCCAGCTGTGTTTATTTGACTTAGCATATGGGAGCATGCAAATTATTAAAGGAAAGCTGTGTTAATCACGGGAGTTTGGCAGTTTCTCATGGTAAATTACAGAGAAGCAAAAGTGTGTTCCATTTAAGAATACAAAGTAATGTAATCTGAAAGGGTTCTGCCTATTGCCGTATAAATCTTAAAACCTTCAAGCCAGTGGCTCCTTGGGCATTTGCTACAACAAACTGTTTGAGGTCTACCTGAAATGCTTGTTTTCTGTTAAGCAATAATATTAGTTTGTGACTGCTAAGCAGTGGCCCAAACACTGGGGTAGTGGATCAGTTTTCCAGGTAACTTCAAAGGGATGTCCCCTTCCCCCATCCCTGCTCTAATATATACAGCAGCCTCTGTTGCTTGAAGTCAGATTCTGACTTCAAGTTGAATGGATTATTTGTCCCTTTCAGTACAGAAATTCTTCTGTAAGATGTGAATATATTATATCTCAGTATCATAAGATAGCTGCTTGCTTCAGGCTTCTCAAGCAATGCAGTGTACTCAGACTAAAGCTCAGTAGTAACATAATTTGGGCTCTCTAACTGCTATCCTTGCTGCAAAAACAAAACCTGAAAAAGACAGCATTAAAATTCTAGAAACACAGAATGTCAAAAATCCTGCAGGAGATTTCCCTTAAAAAAAAGTGCCTTTGGAACACCCGCGGTAAGTAAAAGATGGACAAGCATGACCAATACATGAAAAGTTATTGGAAGACTTGGGAGAAAACCCTTTATACATGGACATTACAGCACCTTGTTTGGTTGTAGGCCTATCTGTGCCTGCACTGTGAAGCAATCCAGTGTCTGCTCCTAGAGTTCTCAGTTCGATTCTCATACAGGGAAATCTCTCCCCCCACCAGTTTATTGTGCCAGTTTTGTTTTATTGTTGTCTACTTTTGTTATTGTTCCCAGCTTGAGGCCAAGAAATTCCTGGAGATTTGGGGGTGAAGCCTTTGAGAGGGTGGGGTTTGGGGAGGAAAGGTACCTCAGCAGCGTATAAAAGCCAAAACAGAGAACTGATCTCTGTTGTTTAGCGATCAGTCATAATTCTGTGGGATCTCTAGGCCCTACCTGGAGGTTGGGGAAACTACCATTTCTTCCATTCCTGAACAAGAGAAATAGGAAGTTTCTAGTTTGGGGTGCTACTTGATTCTCCAGGTCTGCTCAATGGCACATAGTGTCTTCTATCAGCGCCACCTAGTTTACCAGCTATGGGTGTTTTTCAGATAGCAAGATTTGGACACAGTGATTCATGATCTGATCTGATCACATTCCCATTAGTTTACTGTAATATGTTCTATATGGGGCTGCCTTGGAAAACAGTTCAGAAACTTTAATTGGTCTAAAAAGAAGAAGAGTTGGTTTTTATACCCCACTTTTCACTACCTGAAGGAATCTCAGAGAGGCTTACAATCGCCTTCCCTTCCTCTCCCCCCACAACAGACATCCTGTGAGATAGGTGGAGCTGAAAGAACTCTGAGACAACTGCTCTTGAGAGAACAGCTCTGAAAGAACTGTGACTGGCCCAAGATCACCCAGCTGGCTACATGTGGAGGAGTGGGGAATCGAACCCGGTTCTCCCAATTAGAGTCCACCGCTCTTAACCACTACACAAAACTGACTCTCTAAAATGTGGCAGACAGGCTACTGTCAGTTTGGTTATGGGGACTGTATCACCCCTGTGCTAAAAGATGTACACTGATCACCCATCTGTTTCCAGGCAGAATTCAGAGTGCAGGTTCTTACCTTTAAGGTCCTAAACAGTTTGGGGCCAGGGTACCTGAAAGACCATCTCTTCCAATACTATCCAGCCCTCCCATTAAGATCTGTCTCTCAAGCCATGCTCTTTGTGCCCCTGCCTTGAGAGATGAGGCTGGTAGCAACTAGAGGCATTTTCTGTGGTGGCATCTCCCCTTTGGAATGGCCTCCCCCTTGAGGCTAACCTGGCACCTCCTTTATTTTGTTAGGCACAAGGCCTGTACAGGCTTTTAGTTCAGGGTTCTATCTTATCACCTTTTCTGCTTTCCACGTAGTTTTCATTCTGCTTGTCCAATGGCTTTTTTAAAATATTGTGATGTGGTTTTCATTGTATGCCTCCTCAAGCTGGGCTATGAAGAGGCAGCATAGAAATATCTTAAATAAATAAACAGAGGGAAATTAGCCCCAGCCCTGTCCTTCTTTTCAGCTCTACCTCTGTTTAACCTACAAATTAAGTACTGCTTCCATATGTTACAATTACTCTTCTTTCATTGGTTTGATGCTCTCTGTTTTTCCCTGTTCCCCCTCCTTTGTTCCCAGGCATGGCATGCTCTTGTGCACGGAGATCTTTGTAGGGAATTTTCCATAAGTCGTTTTTCTTAATGCACATTTTCATTAAAGAGCGGGGATGGTCATATGCATAGCAGTCAATAGCTGAACATGGAGAGAGAGAGAGAGAGAGAGAGAGAGAGAGCTCTTTTTTGGCTTTCAAACAGACATTTAAGTTTGAATCAACCTGGCTTGAAAGGCAGTTTAGGTAGGGGGGGGGGGTTTCTCCTGAAGTATTTTTTTTAAATTCATTTTAAATCAGAACCAGATGTATAAATACACTAAATGAACTTTGAGTTCTTAATTGGAGACCCAGCAGGGCTATAATAGACTGAACAAATTACAAACAAAATGTCCTTGTTTACATTAGTGTAACTGACTTCTTGGATGCAGCCAAAGACCTTCATAAAACAGGCCATTATGCTAAAAATGGGACTGAAAGCCCACTCAAGGAGTATTGCACAGAGTTCACCTCTCTTTGTAACACTACTGATGTCTGTTGAGCCATTTCAGGAATGTGCTTGCCCGCAAATATACACATTTTGGTAAGCCTGTTTACTTGTACTTGGTCCTTGTCGCAGAAGACAGGTCTATGTACCTAGGGAACGAAGGCGTAATGATCAGATAAGACATGCAAGGGAGCTGTTGAAGTGCTATAACATATGCTTTCTTTCAGGCTGCATAATTTGTTCTCTGTAATATTCGTTGCAACAGTTCAGCTCAATAGCAACACCTCATTATTTTATCCCTCAGTATTTATTCCTATGTTTGACGCCTCATGAAATTACTGTTAATGTGTTTATATAAGGCCAGATCTGACACAAGTGGGAAGGATTTAATTTCCCACTCAGTCTTTACTGCTGATGTGTCCTCTATCCCCTGGTAGAAGTGGCAAGTGTAAATAGTTAATTTGCTTCAATTATGAGCCTGTCCCGCTAAATTAGAGGCAGCAGGGATATGAAGAGCTAGAATTATACTTCTGAGGCAGCTGACAAATCCTCTGAG